TTATAGTCTGCTATGTGAGGACCTAAGGTTTTTAACCAGGGGACTCCCAACACAAGGTCAGCTCCAGAAATAGGCAGTAAATACACAGGAAGGTGTAAGGTATTACCCTGAATCGTGACTGGCAGATCACTGATATAACCCATGGTGGTCAAGGAATTGCCATTGCCCACTAAGACTTGAAATTGAGTCGTTGACTGAACTGACAAGTGTAAAGACTGAGCAATTCTGGGTTGGAGGAAGTTGTCAGAACTCCCACTATCCAACAAAACCGTGACATCCATGCCTTGAATTTGGCCACGAAAACGCAAAGTACCAAGTCCATGAGAACCATTCAAAGCATTTAAGGATAAGTGATGTTCAGAGTCCTCAATAGGCATACTTTTCGCTAAGGATTCAAGTGTGATATCAGGGTGTGGGTGTGGTTCATTGTCATCATCTTCCATTTGGAGGAGAAAATAATGACGGTTGGGACATTTGTGGTTGATAGAGAATTTGTCATCGCAGTAATAGCAGAGGCCCTTTTCACGGCGAATTTGCATTTCAGCTCGCGATATGTTTTTGACAGGGTGGCTTTTTGGTGATGGATTTGGTGGTTTAGGGTTAGGCAGAATTGGGGGTTGAGGTGTGTGTTTGGGTGTAGAATTGGGTCCAGGGAAATGATAGGGTTTGGTAGAATTGATGGTAAGTGGTTTTGAAACGGGTGATGGTGAATATTTATCCTCAAAAAGCCTTGCAAGAGCATAAGCACGGGACAAGGAAGAAGGGGTTTGAGCAATAACATCTCGTTTGATATCAGTTTTGAGGCCACTGATAAAGCAATCCAAGGTGGCATCAGGACTCAGACCTTGGGCTCTATTGGCAAGCACAGTAAACGATGTATAATACTCTGCAACTGTGGACGTTTGGGTCAATTTGAACAGTGCGGGCCTTGGAGACTCATAAGGGGATGGGCCAAACTCCATTTCTAAAGCTCGAGTGAACATGGCCCATGATTGAAAAGGCTGATTACGGGAAATCATTTGGAACCATGGCACCACGTCCTTTTCCATGTGCACGGCGGCGATGGTAAGGCGGTGATGATCTGGTGTGTCATAAAACTCAAAAAATTGTTCAGCCTTAAAAATCCAATTCATTACCTCAGATCCATCAAATCGGGGAAAGTCGAGCTTGATGTTGCGCATCTGAAACGGCTGAGACGGCGACGGCGTTGAACCGGAAACGGAGTGTTTTCCACCGGAGAGCTGGTTCTCATGAAGAGAGGTGAGCTGACTCTCGACACGTTCAAAACGGGCTTGATCCAAGTGACGGTGCTGCGAATACTCGTTGTGGCGGCGGTCGGCGTCTTCAACAAACCTCTGCAGAGTTTTGGACATCTCAGCAATGGCATTTTCCATAGTTTTCATGCGTGTATTGTCGGCCATGGGGAGGTCAATGAAAGCACCAGTTGTAATGAACAGAAATAATGAAAGCAGAAAAGCAGTGGAATATGGATAAAAATTGTACTAATAATCAATGCAACAGTACAATTTGTTTGAAGGAATGAAATGATGTAATGATTAAAGATGGAATCTAAGGGAAATACTAGAAAAGCATAAGCTTCAGAGGGAGAGAAGAGTCATTTCTTCCACACTAAATTCCATGCCAATGATTGCCAATCATGAGGGTATTTAAACAAAGTCTTCCTTGAATTTTCTGTTTGGGATTCTCTCTCTCTTTCCACGTCACAGATCCTAATCTTGTGGATCTAATGCCAAGTGTCCCTCCTCATCATGTGAATTAGTTACTCTTGTGATTTCTTTGTCCTTATTCACAACAGAAACCTTTCTATCTAAACATGTAACTTTTCATAAAATATTTTTACCTTATAAAGTTTATTATGTGCATTCATCCCTGCATACCTAGGATCATCATTTTGCTTCTACACAACCCACATACACTGATTTAAATTCATCCACTACCATTGAACCTGAAACAATATCTCCTATTTCATAATCAACTCATCATGAAGCCTATTACAATATAAGTCCCAAAAACTAGACTTAAATTCTATATCTTATACCTCAAATAGTGAGAAATCCTAAGTTACATACTTAATACAAAACCACAAACACAATAAACCAAATATCTCTATACATGTACTAATACTATATATAGATATATATGATATGATATGATATATCCTCCGTAAATCTTAACTACTGCATTCATAATCAGAGCGCTCGACAACAGTTTCAGGCTCACCTTCCCTCAAACAATCAAGTGGAGGTATAGTCAAAGTCTCTTGTCTTCCATAAGCATTCCAACAAAAAGGATCATCTACCAATTCACCTTCATAAGGCAAAAGTTCAATCTCAGAGAGAGTTATGTTTGTGCAAGCAACAGTGTCACTGCAAGCAAAGTGAATAGGAGGTGTTCTAACATCATAAGTTCCCTTTATTTTTCTGTAGGACACATTGTTTACATAAATCGCCGATGTTTGATTCATACATTCTTTCGATAAGCAGTAGAATTGGTCTATGTTGATGCAGTTTCTCACATTCTCCATTTGTATGTTGTCAAATGTTAAACCTGTTACTGATCCTGTACCTCCTTGCCATGTTTTTATTCTTAGCCCATTGTCTGATTCTTTTATGATCGAATTTCGAACCGTTAGGTTTGAGACACATGCGTGGGAATTATGTACTCCAAGGCTTCCAATGCTGTTGAAATCGCAACACAATGAACATGGTCGTTAATCAGTTACAAGTCACACATATAATACTGGATTCTAGATTACAACAATACGATAATCCTGTTGAAATGATCTAGATTACTGTCGTCAGGGCCGTCCTTATGATTAAGTTGTGGTTAAATAAGGTCTAAATAATATTATCCCGGTAAAATTGTGGTTTAATAAATATATATTTATTTTATCTTGATTAAACTCTGACTAATTGGAAGTTCGAAACTTCTGACCGTAAAAATATTGAAGTCACACAAAAATCTAAAAGAAGAAAATAAATCTTGTGATCAGTTAAAGTTAGAAATGCTTTTAATTTCAAACAAAAATTTTCCATTATTTATTTATTTTTCTTGAATATATAATGTTATGAGACACCTTAAGAGTTATTACACTCACGCTATAAGTTAAAGTCACTTTTCATTCACTTTTGTCTCTTGAAATGGTTTTTGGACCACACAAAATATGGTACATAATATATTAAAAAACCATCAACTAAATTTGTTTTTTATTAACCATAATTTATTGTTAGTTAAAAACCATTTTAACTACAATAACAGAAACTATGTGACATACCTAATTCCGTGGGTAGGAGCACAAGTAACACCATCTACATTCACATTTGAACAACCCGGGCCAATTGAAATGCAATCATCACCTATTAAAAAAATAGTAACATTTTCTAGATTAATAAATAAATAAATTAATAAATAAAAACCATATAATAAAAAGTTTATATTGGAAAAGTTAAATAATGTTCTTTATTTTTTTACCATTGCTTATCATGGAGTTATAAATTCCAACTTCTTTTGTGTTTCCCAAGTGGATTCCATCAGTATTGGGACTAAGTTTTGGTGCAGAAATGGACAATTTGTCAATTAATACACCTTCACAACCATCAAATTTCACATGGAATTGAGGACTGTTTTGTATTTTCAACCCAGTTAAAACCAAATTTGAGCTCATGAAGAACCTTATCATCTATACACAAAAAGAGACATAATCAATGAGACTATTAATGTTATTAATTATTGAGGATAAATTCTGAATAGTTTACTTACTGTAGGGCTATCACACGGTCCTGAAATAGTTTTCCCACTAGGAGCCTGAAATGCCAAAAAAAATTATTACTAGAATTTACTTGATAAATGTAAGTTCAAGGAGTTCGGGTTCGTGTTCAAATGAGTTAAATGAGTGTAAGTTTGTTGATTTAAGATTTAATCTCTCTCGAAAACATTTATTTATATTAGTGTCACTTTAAAAGATAGATAATACAAAAATAATTGCATCAATATTAGTTAGTATTACCCTGTGAGGTTTGCAAGGAAGATTCCACCATTTTTCTCCGTTGCCTTCGATAATTCCAGTTCCGTTTAAAGTCATTTGATCAAGTCGATAAAATACAAGCCATTGATTTTTACTATCTGACTCAGGCCAACATTCTGGTCCATCAGGTGCCATTAAAGTTCCATCAATCTATATTCATTTCAACCTTGTTAGTTAATCATACAAGAAATTTTTTTAGGAAATTTATATTGCAGCAAAACTAAGAAAAAAAAAAAAAAAGCTTATTTGGTCTAAATTGCGATTATCATACCAGAGACTTCAAAATTCATTATATTGTAGATGCAAGTGCATTGCAGTTGCAGACTACTATTTAAAACCAAAATCAACAACAATTACGACTGCAATGTAGGATTTTTAAAGTATTCGCAACCGCAATTGCAAGTTATCCACAATATTTATCTACAAATTTAACACAATACGAACAATTGCAACGTAATTTCGAAAGTAACAACAGTTTATAGACTAATGAAAATTTGGTTTATGTGATAAACAAGGAAATTCAGGAAGCATTCTTACTTGAAAAACTAGTCCTGGTTTGCATGGACCTGAAAAGATTGTAGAAGTGATTTTAAAACAGTAGTTTTCGGGAGCGAAAAGAACTCCTGATTCAACTGCACAGGCTGCTTTCCATGCTGCTCTAAATGCAGCTGTGTCGTCAGCTTCACCATCTCCGACCGCTCCGAATGACCGTACATCGAAAATACAGTCTGAAGGAGATTCTCCAGGGTCATTTGGATATGGATATGGATCAGAAGGAACACTAGGAGGAGGAGGGTTGAGAGAAGGAGGTGAAGGGTCACTTGGAGCAGGGGGAATTTTCTTTGGTTTCTTGTGATGATGGTATCTTCCTTCCACATTATGGATGAAAAGAATCATTGTTATCCATAGGATGAAAAACCAAAGAACATGACTCATGATGAATTTTGTAACAATGTTAAATCATAGAGAGGATATATGTATCTGTGAAAATAAAATTCAAAATGGTGAAATTCAGAATTTTGATATTGCAAAGATAAATGAAGGAGATTAATTTGAATTTTGAAGTGATTTTCAGAATGTTCAAAGCAAATTGTTCTAGTAAGAGATTTCTAAAGCAAAATGTTAATATATATATATACCAAAAAACAATAATAATTGTACTATGGTTAAGGAAAAAGTTCTCAAGCTTAAGTTTGACACGTGTTGATTTATGGTTGATCAAAGGTCTAGGTGTTTCAAAGAAAAATTGAAAGTTTTTAGAGACACTTTTTGATGTCAACTTTCTTTGTAATATTGGCATTGTGTGTGTTAAAGTTAAGGTGAAGTTAGCTAGAAGGCTCACTAGAATCAGAAGAGACGAGACTCGTCAAAGTCATTAGAGTAGGCAGGACTCATCAAGATGAAACTCATGGGAGTTAGAAAAGATCTTAAAGTTTAAACAACACTTAAAAAGTATTTATAAATTATTCACCAAAAATATTTTTATATCGAGAATCAGAGTTGAACTCACACGCTATTAATATATATGAATCAACATTTTATCAATAGAGTCTTATTTATAAAATAATTCTAAAAATTGAAAATTATTCTATCTATTTTAAAATTAATGTCGTTTTAAAAAAAAAATTATTTTAAAATGAATGTCATTATCACTTTTCAATATAGTAATAATAATAATTTTTTAATTATGTTCTATAATTATTATTCTGCACTATACTTTTAATAAATTAATAAGACTAATTTAATAAAAATACAATATCACATGATAATATAGTTATATTTTTTAATTTGTGTGAAAAACTTTAAAGGATATTCATTTTAAAATAGAAAAACTAATTTTTTTATCATCATGTTTTGTCATATAGTAGTCACAAGACATCTTTCTTTTATGAGTTTTTTCTTGGAAGAAGTGAATCAAACACATGCATCTCTAGAAAAATCACACTAACCAATATACAAGATATCGCATGTGAGTTTATGGCTATATATAAGTTAGAATCAGAACTGTAAAGAACAAAGTACCAACAGATAGTAAAAAAAGAAGAAAGCTACACGTCATGTGAATCTTAAGCATAACAAATCTACCTATGCTATAGAAAGAAGGAAAAAAACATAAAAAACAATTGAACTTACATTATGAATCAAACAATCTTTCTAGTTTGTGACATTTGAGAATTAAAGATTGTGATTTGTAACTTATTTAAAATATTTATATTTGAATTAATAATTGAGATTGAAATGTGAACGTTTTGTATTAGTATTAACCCTTTTTGAAAGGTATGATAGGACAATACATAGAGAAGTGTAGAAATGGGGGAATGTGGTTTTGATGTAAAAGAAAAAGATATCGTGACTCTATGTTGTTGTTTAGCTGAATGTGGCCCTGAATGTATTGAAGGGAGCTTTATATTGGTACCCGACATGAGAATTAAGGCATTCACGGGTGGAATCAAATTCTCTATTATTTTCAAACCAAAAAACAAAGGCTAAAACCGACATGGTAGGTAAATATTCCTACATTTCGTAATATATTTCCTACATAACATATTGATTAGTTATTGGATTTTTACTATGACTTGATGGTAATAAGAATTTTTTCCAATCATATTGCATTCATTGTTTCTGGTGTCCTCTGTTTTTATATTACTAAAGAAAAGTAGTTATAACTAAGTACTAACTACTAGTTTAGTTAGTCATGTAACCATCAATTAATTAAACTTAATTAAGGACTAATTTGATTTTAAATCTTAATAGTCCTCCTCAAACTAAGCATGGTAAATGTTTATTATGTTAAATTTGAAAACAAAGTTATTAAATTTAGGAGCAGGTACAACCTATGTCAAGAAATTTGTGATTTGCTCTTGTGATGAGATGGGCAATAGACGTAGTAAATCTTGTTGAACTTTTTCATGCGAAAGATGGTAGTTTATTTCTAGATGTTTCGTTCTCTCATTAAAAATTAGATTGGAAACGATGTGCATTACACTTTGGCTGTTATTATTAGGTTTAGAGTTAGTCTTAGTCATTCCTACAAAATCGATTTGTAAGATGATGTGTGACATTCTATATATACTCTTTAGAGACTATATTTATTACCAATGTGAGACTTTGAGATTTTCTCAATAGTCACAATAGATGGAGGGAGGTTTGGAACAAGTGATGCAAAGATCCTTCATTAAAAACACCAACCAAAGTAATCCATAAGTGGCTGATGACAAAGCTATGTACTCAGTTTCATATGAAAATTGAGAAATATTTTGTTGTTTCTTTGTACGCTAAATAATCAAGGAAGAACCTAGAAAAAAGAAATAGCCACAAATTGATTTTTCTAGAATCAATACAATTGGCCCAATCTTCATCTGAATTGACAAGGATTTGCTATTTTGAATTCCTATAGAACATAGGACCTCTATCAAGGTTGTACTTTAAATATCTAATGAATCTTCACACAAATTGGTAATGAATCATGGAGAAATTGACTTAATTGTTTAGCAAAAATAATATATGTTTTGGTTGTGTTCAAATATAACAATCTACCGATTAACCTTCTATAAGATCCAATGTCATAAAATGATTTTTCACCATCAACATGAAGTTTCATATACAGAAGAGGTGTTGCAGCTGGTTTGGAGCAAAGATAACATGATTTGTGTAAAAGATCCAAGCAATATTTTCTTTGGAATAGAGAAATTCCTTCATTTGAATGTGACATTTACAAGCTCAGGAAAAGTACTTATATCTCTCTATAGTGCCATCAACATAATGTTTAACCTTATAAAACCATTTACTCATAATAGGTTCGACATGAGGTGGTAAATCTACTATGGTCAAATAATTCATTTAGTTCAATTCTTCCAATTCATAAACCATAACTTTAACCCAACGATCATGTATCTTCCTTATAATTCTTAGGCTCAATGTTATGTGTGACAGATGTAGTGAAGTCACGATGAGATTTGGACAAATTATACACAAAATCAAAAGAAGAAATAGGATAAAGAATAGAGGAAGCTCCTGAAGATGAATTGTACCTAAAGAGTTGCACACATAATATGAGATATAATTTGGTGCATGTTGTAACACCCTAAACTCCAAACACTTAATTTATAAAACATACAAAATAATTTACTCAAGAAGGGTGTCACATTTTCTCAGCATAACTTCTTTCTCAAAATCATTACAGCAGCTGAAATAAATATTAACACAATTTTAATTGCCTCATAAATAAAATCAACTTCATTTAAACCATAAAATAAAGATCTCAACAACTCGCAAACACAAAATGAAAACGATATTCCCAATCCAGTGTTACACTATCGACACGCGAAAAACTAAACAACGCAAAAAGATAAACAACAAAGAAGGCCAACTATGCCATCCTCCAATACAAGCAATAGCTAAAGCCCCCCAGACTCTATCTTAGTATCTACACCATATGTATAAAGAACAACAATGAAACAAACAGGGGGGTGAGAATACATTCACATATGTTAATATTGCATAAAATAATAGGATAGTGCAATTAATACCAATCATCAATCACATAAATCATCCACATCAATATTCAATCACACATGTAGTTATGTATACATAGTATTCATCTCCCCTACTCTAATGTATGTGGTATCATGGTTTAGGATATTCAGAGGTATGTTACTTAAGCATCCACTGTGATTAGACCGAAGTCCTACTCGTCACTGGACTGAAGACCTACTCGTCACTGGACCGAAGTCCTGCCTATCTCCAACATAAATGATGCATGAATGCAATGACAATACAAATGCGATACTCATCTCAACCTCCAACTCCAATACTCAAAATTGGTTCATCTCGAACCTAAAACACAACATAATTATCACCAATACAAGGCCACATCAATAGTTCCTCTGAATCGTAACATCTCACCATACTCAATAATTTACCTCTTCATGAAAATATTCATCATAAACTCAATACAATGATTAAAAATATTTACTTTCTCATAAATATTGATAAAACAACATCAAACAATATAGAATAAAACCTCCAAAAATAGAATCTACTCGAAAAATAGAGTCAAACAACTCAGAATTAGTCAACCCAGGGGCGGATGGTCAACCTCTCGCTGGGTTGATGGTCTTCACCACCCACCAGCTTCTCTCTTAGCTACCCGTCATCACTGACGGTCAGGGCGAGGAACACCCATCCCGACACGCTAACGGCCGAACCGTCAGCCAACTGACGCCTCTCAGCTCCAACCAACAGTTCTTCCTACCTATCGCGATGAGGGTCTCACTGTCACCCCTATGAAGCCCAGCATCACTGTGCAGAACCCATACTTTTGCGTTTTTCTCCATTAAAACGCTTTCAGAACTCCGATTTCGATACTAGACCGTCCCAACCGCACAACAAAACATCAACCATCATTCATATATCATTTACATCATCAAAACTCATCGATTAACATTTAAGTCATCAATTTATCATGAATCGTCATCATATTTTATCAAATTATCATTTATACTCATGAACATCAAAACTCAGAATTAACACATGCCTTTCACACAATTTACAACCATTGAAAGAGCACAAATTTAACATGAAATCACAATAACCTAAAGAGGTTTTACACAAACTCCTTCATGGTTTAGCAATATCATCAATGGAGAAAAAGGAAGAGAAAAGGGAAAGAGGACAAAGAATCTTATTTATCCTTCATGCCTAAATACACTCATATCATGAATAGTTCCTCCTCCCCCCTTACCTCAAATTTGTAGCAAAGTTTGAAGCTTTGATTATGGAGTCTCTTCTCCTTCAAAAACTCTCCTAGGTTTTTTCTCTTCTCTCCCTTGCCTCTTTTCACAATTTTCACGTACTGACAAATTCGTTCAACTTTTCTCTCTTAAAAAACAAAAACCTAATTTCTTTTTTATTTTAATTAATTACACAAACTCTCATCAACTTTCTCTAAAATCACCCACCTCCCTATTTTATTAAAGTTCTACTTTTCTCCCCGGAGTCTCCATTTTTCCTATTTCTCTATTAATTAAATTATTAAAATATAATTAAATTCTAGTTTAATATTAAACTACCATTCCTCACTTTAAAAGTAATCTTAAATATAATAAAACTTTACCCAAAATTCAATAACTTAAATAAAAATAATTAAATAGGTCAAAACACATCCAAAACTCGTAAAAATAAAATAAACAAAATTAGGGTGTTACAACTCTCCCCCACTGTTAGAATTTTTGCCCTAAAAAATTATCTGAAAGAAACAACTTCAAATAAGACTCTCTCACCAGGCTCTCCAATTCCCAC